AGAGAGAAACAAGTCAAATGCTGAGAGAACCAGAATATGTTTGTGTGCTCTTGAAAGGTAAGTGTGTGACATTGCCTTTGTTGTTTGGTCGCTCAATCATGCCTGACTCTTTGTGACCCCATGAAGTGAAGCATGTCAAGCTTCCTTATCCTTTACCATCTCCCAGAGCTTGCTCAAATTCACATCCGTTGAGTTGGTGATGCCATCCAAACATCGTATCCTCTGTCACCTCTCCTATGTCACCTCTTTTTCCTCCTGCCCTCAATCTTTCCCAGCATCAAGCTCTTTTCCAGTGAGTCAGCTCTTTGCATCAGGGGCCAAAGTCCTGGAGCTTCAGCTTCAGCATCAGTCCTTACAATGAATATTCAGGACTCATCTCCTTTAGGATGAACTGGTTGGATTTCCCTACTGTCCAAGGGACTCTCAAGAGTCTTCTCCAATACCACAGTTCAAAAGCATCCATTCTTCAGCGCTCAGTCTTCTTTATGGTCCAACTCTAAGTTAGTGAATATTGTGTACTTTTCAAAGAGTGTTATAGAAAGTATCCCATTTAAGACTGACAGCAACACTGTGAAGCACGTACAAAATTAAGGCAAGATTACAGCTTCGTACACAAAGCCTGACATTTAGTAAATGCTCAAAACCTCTTGGCTTCTTGCCTTCTGTTAATATAGCAACAGATAGCATCCTTTGTGTCAAGTCCTAACTCCCCCTCTGTAATCTACATGCTTTGAGGCCAGGAGCCTCTGCCATCTGTCTTCGTCTCCTGCAGAGCGTCAGGCCAGAACAAGGGCCACATAGCGTGTGCTCGATAGACCTGGCTGACTGCATACTGACACTGGAAGGAAGTCTCTCAGCTTTAAAAATGTGCAGAAGAGAAGCGCTGATTTTCAGAGAAGCATGAAGTCACTTAGAAAGTTAAACATAAATAACAGTCTTGCAAAGAGTGATAAACCCCTAAGAAAGAAGTGAGTGAAGCTCAGAAAACAGGAAAAAAAAAGAGTGCGAAAAGTGGTCTCGAAAAATGAATTATATGAAAAGAAAGGATTTTCCTTTCTTCTCAAGACTGTATAAGTTTGTCTTTCAAAACAGAGTATTCTTATCCAGGCCTTGCCTCCACCATCTTATTTTGAGGAAAATATTTTGCTTAATAATTGGCTGTTTCTTTATAGGGACTTTCTTCACCAGAGACTTGGGCAGTATGTAGCTAGCCAGCCCTCTTTCTCAGTTCCTTCCTTTTTGCATGATGTCCTAGCCAATCTGTGACCCGAGACTCATTCCCACTACCACGCCTTTGGCATCCTCTCTCTAACTCACTGCCTCCCTTCTGGAGGGAAAACATGGACAGTAGAAAGAAAAAAAGAGAAGATAAAAGAATGGTTAATGCAGTGAGCAGAATAGTATGTATACTCGCTTCTTTATTTTGAAATACAGTCTCTAGTATTTGGACTGGGGCAGGGTTCTCTTTCCCCTTTTCATCATTTCTGTCCACCATCATCCCAACGTATTCTTCCAGAACAGTTGCATGGACACTGCAAATCTGGAGGAGGGGGATTTAGAGAGGAGCAAAATGGGAGGAGCTGACTCATTGGAAAAGACCCTGATGCTGGGAGGGATTGAGGGCAGGAGGAGAAGGGGACGACAGAGGATGAGATGGGGGATGGCATCACCAACTCGATGGACATGAGTTTGAATAAACTCTGGGAGTTGGTGATGGACAGGGAGGCCTGGCGTGCTGCAGTCCATGGGGTCGCAAAGAGTCGGACACAACTGAGTGACTGAACTGAACTGAAAATGGGAGGAGGAAGGGCCAGACAAAAATACCTTATTTCCCCCTTTAGTTCCTCAAGGAGCCCTCCTGACTTCTCAGATTAGGGCAGTGCTCAGTCACTCTTTGCAGTGTCCAGCTCTTCGCGGTCCCAAGTTCTTCCATGCAGAGCCCAACAGGCTCCTCTGTCCATGGAATTTCCCAGACAAAAACACTGGAGCAGATTGCCATTTCCTATTCTGAGCAGATTAGGACAGGGGTCCCCAACGTCTGGGATCTAATGCCCAGCGATCTGAGGTGGAGCTGATGTAAACATAATAGAAATAAAGTGCACAATAAATGTAATGTACTTAAATCATCCTGAAACCACACCTTCCCCACTCGTCCGTGGAAAAATTATCTTGCATGAAACCAGTCTCTGGTGCCAAAAAGGTTGGGGGCCTCTGGATGATGGAATTCCCCTCCGAGTATCTCACTGCTCCCTGCCTAACAGGATTTCAGGGTACCTGTATTCACTTTTCATAAAACTCATCATATTTTAAATTTACATTTCTTTCTGTGATCATTTACTTACTGTCTGCTCCCTCCTTTATATCAAAACCTCCATGGGGCTGGTACCCTGCCTGCTTGGTTCATTACTCACCTCTAGTATCTGCTACGTGGCAGGTTCGCGACCAACACTCACTGAATGAATAGTAGTCTGCAGCCAAATCTCTCTGCAAAATCCATTACTAGGACAGCTAATAAAAGTGGGTCAGAGAAAGTAGCATCCACGTATATACACTACCATTAAAATAAGATAGCCGGTGAGAAGCTGCTATATAACGCAGGGAGCCCAGCCTGGGTCTGCATTGGTGGGAGGAGGACGGGGAGGGAGGTGATGTATGTATAAGTATGGTTTGCATTGCTGTAGTGTAGAAAGCAATACCACATTGTAATCTTCCTCCAATTAAAAAATAAAAGATAAAAAAGTGGGTCGAAGCTCAATGATGACCGATTCCACACAGATCTTCCCCAAGTGAAGTTATCCTTCAAAAAAAAAAATGAAGCCATCCGCGATTGGCAATACAGCTAACCCAAAGGACATTTGAAAGAGGAATTTTTCGAAGATAGGAGTCAGGTGTAAGGAAGGGACTGATGTGAGGGATGAAAAGCACTCCCAGGTGCTCTATTTGAAATTTTTTCAAACAAACTCACTAATGAAAGGAAATGCATTCCTGCTTTTTGCCTCCAACAGGACAAGCCAGGATGTTAATTAAATTACAAATCAGCTGTCAGCTTGCAGCTGACTGAGCTTTGTGTGCTTCCAAGCAACATCAGATATTTTAAACCCTCTGTAATTACCTACAATGAAGGAGCTGCCAGGAAGAATGCTTTCATGAATATTTAACCGATCTTAAGATCCTTTTTAAAGAACTGATGATTTAAACAATCATGAGAGGACTTGCTCTAGCTCAGTGCTGCCCTCCATCTGTTAACCGAGGTTGCAGGAACTGGAGTTTGGCAAGCTTCACCTCCTAAAACTCAAGCTACCCAGGGGAGGCCAGGCTCACCCAACATAGGTCACCATAGGACTAGACAGCCTACTGCTGCTGCTGCAGCTAAGTCGCTTCAGTCGTACCAGACTCTGTGCGACCCCACAGACCACAGCCCACCAGGCTCCTCTGTTCCTGGCATTCTCCAGGCAAGAATGCTGGAGTGGGTTGCCATTTCCTTCTCCAATGCATGCATGCATGCATGCATGCTAAGTCGCTTCAGTCTGACTCTGTGCGACCCCATGGACAGCAGCCCACCAGGCTCCCCTGTTCATGGGATTCTCTAGGCAAGAATACTGGAGTGGGTTGCCATTTCCTTCTCCAGGACTAGACAGCCTAAGCTCTCTGGAAAAGTCAGAATGGGACCACACACCTATGATTTGGGAAAATGAAGGGTGTGGAACTGTAAAATGAATTTGTACCCGATGTCACATATACAGGTTGCTATTTACAATTTTGGGCTCCCCTGGTGGCTCAGTGGTAAAGAATTGATCTGCCAATGCAGGAGACGCTAGTTCGATCTCTGAGTCAGAAAGATCCCCTGGAGAAGAAAACGGCACCCCCTTCAGTATTCTTGCCTGGGGAATCCCACGGACAGAGAGACCTGGCGGGCTACAGTCCATGGGGTCACAAACAGTCGGACATAGCAACTAAACAACAATATTCATGATTTACAAAGCACTCTCAGAAGCGCTGGCGCAAGTAACTCACTCAAGAATTGAGAAAAAGAAGGTACTATCACTCTTTTCAAATGAGAAAACAGGATCAGAGAGTCTCCAAACCAGTAAACAAATGGCAAAGCTGGGTTTCCAACTGACATAGCCAGCTGAGTCCAAGAGGCAGCCCAATTCAGTGGAATGTGCATAAATTCTGGCATTAGAAATACGGGTTCAAATCTTGCAACATTTGTCAAGTTGCTGGTATCTCTGAGCTCCAATTGACTGAAGCTGTAAACTGGGAATTATAGGATCAATGTGGTAGAAATACGAGCATTGGATGAGACACTGTGCTGCTGGTGCTAGTAGCTACTTGATGAAATTTCATGTCCTCCTTTCTGGAACTGCCACGGTCTGTCCTTTGAGGGTCAGGCATCATAAAACCTGATGCCCATGAGTGAACTCTTCAGACTGTTAATGCTGTCAGCAGAATGGAAACTAGTGTGAATGGTCATTTGTAGCTTCTAAATATGACTCTCAACTTCCTCTTCCTTAGTCCTTCATTCTAGAATAACTTTCTAAAACCTCAGTTACAGAGCAGTGGCTAAGAGTCCAGTTTTTAGAGAGACTGGATCCATTTCCAGTTCTACCATGTACTACATGACCTTGGGAAACTTATCAACCTCTGTGAGACTTGATATTCTTATCTATAAAATGGAGCTAGACCTTCACAGAGTTTTTGAGAAACCCAAAGAGATAATGCTTGGAAGCCATTTAGCACAGTGTCTGTGATCTAGTAAGTGGTCCCTTAACGTTAGCTATGATTATTTAATTGTAACATTAGATTTTTTATTATAAAAAATTTGGAAATGTAAAACATAGTTAACTGAAGGGAAAAGAAATGTAGCCTTTTTTTTTTTTCATTTTCAATTTTTTCCTTAAGCATGCAATTACAACTTTTCCCACTACTCTATAACATGTAGACCCTGGGTTCTACTCTCACGGCTCTCCTGACCTCACAAAGCACTTTTCAACCTTCCTTTGTGTCATCATCAAGCCTGAAAACCTTCCAGCCTTTCCCAAACCATCTCCACTCAACTCAGCCTGCCCTGACCATTCCAGCTGCTACTACTGCCCTCTCTTCTCAATTTTTTCACCTAACAAGAACTGACTTCTAGTTAAAAAATAAATAAGCCATGGAGATGCAATATGCAACATGGTGAGTATAGCTTAAAATAATGTTTATTTAAAAAAAAAACAACAAGAATTTCTTGAGCACCTACTATGTGCCAGTCATTTTAAGTACTAAGGATACAACAGTGAAGAGAAAAGACACATCCCCTCTCCATGGTTTGTTCTTTTTTTTTTTTAATATTTATTTATTTGGCTGCATTGGGTTGGTCTGTTGGCAGCACGCAGGATCTTTGACAGTGTCATGTGAGATCCTTCGTTGTAGTGCATGAAACTTCTAGGTGTGGTGCAGAGGCTCTGTAATTGTGGCTCACTGCCTTAGTTGCTCCCCAGCATCTGGGATTTTCCTGGACCAGGGATCGAACCTGTGTCTCCTGCATCGCAAGGTGAATTCTTAACCACTGGACCACCACGGAAGTCTCCCTATGCTTTGTTCTTGAGGCCTTGTCTTCCTCTAATAACCTTCCCAATTATCTCTCACTGGCTATTGCTCAATCTGAAAACTCAACTCATATAACGCCTTCGTGGATGCTTTCACTGGACACACAGGTACGGCTGTTTCCATTCCCTGTGCTCACACAACTGAAACCTGGAGAATTCTTTTTTTAAAAGCATATATGGATCTGATTTTCTCATGGGAACATAATTATTGTTAACACCAGCAGCAAATATTCTGCCTGGGACTCTGAAGGTGCTTAAGAAATGTTTCTGAACTAAACTACATCCCGTGGAGATATAAATTCCTAGGGCTCTTGTGTATTCCACCATACCTAGCACATCCTAAAAATAAAATGTACTCAAGAAACCTGTCTGGAGGGCAGAGAAGATCTGATTATGGAACAGCAGCCTGTCAGATTCTGAGTCATAAAATGAGAAACTGGCTCACTGAGCAGCACAGGTAATGAAGTGGGGTAGTTTCGTGCAAACTGAATCGTTCGAGGTTGAGGTGTGAGGCACCTGGGAGGAATCTCGTATGGTGACTTTCTGGACCAACGAGTTGAGAAGGGGAAAAAGTATAACATGCAAGACAGTAACTAAGGGACCTTCCTCCTTCCCCTACTCTGCCAGCCCCGAGTTACAGCAGCTAAGGAAGCACAGCCATAAAAGAGGTCCCCCCAAGTAGTCTCATCTGAGAGTCTCCAAACCCAGAACAGCAGCTGGGCACGCAGACCAGAGTATCAGCCCTGATAAGCACAGTAAAATACACTAAAGTGCATGCAGAGCAGGGAAGAACTCTGGAAGCTTGCACGCTATATTGACAGTGATTATCTCTGGGTGATCATTCATTTCATTTTTTGAGCTACAAATATTACCTGGAGAATAAAAAATAGTGAACACAATAGAGTGTGTAAGATACGATCAAGCATTTACTTTGTTGTAATGGAGAAGGTCCAGTGAACTGCAAGCTTTACAGTGAGGGAAAATTCCCCAGCCCTGGAAAAGGTTTATTATATGAATTCGGTTGAGCTAACTTTGGCTGAAGGATGCAAGGATGATTGGCAGCTCACAGATGAAGGAGAGGGAGATGAGAAGAAAGAGGGCTTGAAGTCAAATTGCTTTGTTAACAAGAAATCAAAGCATGATTTGGGAACAAACTCAACAATTAGTTTGTCCATTTGAAGCACAACTTCAAACACTGTCTGAGTAATTCTCCAGGGATAACTGCCGCTGGATTTGAGCCATGGCAGTAAGACCTTGTGGGCAGGCACTGTCTGACTCAATCCACCAGCTGTGCCATTGCTGCGGCATCTGCGAGCGAGAGTCAGTCATTCACTGCTGAAGGCTAGAAGCATCTTCTGCTCAGGACGCCTGGTGCCCGGGAAAGATGAAATGTTTATCTCAGCAGAACGCTCAGTTAAGTGACGCAAACTCCCCGCACCTCCGTTTCCTGCGCTTAAATTCCGTTCTTGTCACTAATCAGCAATGCAACTTTGAGCAAGTGTGGAAGCTCTCTGAAACTCAGATTCCTCATTTGTAAAACGGAGCTAATAAGGCTTCTAACAGTGTTGCTATGGGCAATTGATGAGAGGATGTGTCTACGTGTCTTGACATAGGGCTTGACTCCTGATGACGATTAGGAAAGCTAAGCCTCTTCCTGTTTCTGTATCAGCGTCACACACCCATCATTGCAAGGCAGTAAGAAGGGTCACAACACACACAGGCACATTCAATTCAGCCTAATCACCTTATGGAGGCTGGTTTTCTCCCTGCTTTCACAAGCATCTTGGCAGCATTATAGATGGGTACAAATCCTCAGAAGGAGGCAGACTGAGTTGAGAAGGCCTTGCTTCCACTGCACTAAAATCAGCAAGTGCCTGCTCAGTCGTGTCTGACTGTTTGTGACCTCATGGATCAGGCCCATCAGGCTTCTCTGTCCATGGAGTTTCCCAGGCAAGAATACTGGAGTCAGTTGCTACTTCCCTCTCCAGGGGATCTTCCTGACCCAGGGATTAAACCCACGTCTCTTGAGTCTCCTGCAGATTCTTTAGCACTTGTGTCACCTGGGAAGCACTAAGATTGGTTTTTTGGCTTTTTTTCCTCTGTATGTGAGGACATCTTACCCTTTTAAGCATTGTTTCCATCTGGGCCAAGGCTTCTGGCCTCTTCTGCCCATGAGCATCACTTCCACCCAGTGAGCAGAGAGAAAACAGTCTCAGAAACAGTGGTGAATGTACTACCACTGCCCACTCATGCTCCTCTTCTGACCCATTGAGCTTCTGGACCTCAGAACCTGCTGTGGAGTCGGCACCCCACCCCCCAGCCCTTCCATCCATATCTGACTCCCGAAGACTTAGCTACCTGCCCACCAGAGATGAGAACTTCTCCTGGATTCTTTCTGATCAGCCATGTGCCTGTTCCTGGGTTTTCCTGGACAGCCTGTTGACATTAGCTTCCTCTTGGATGCTAGAGAGAGTAAGATCCCATCCTAATAAGAAACATCATCATCCATTCATTCAACAAAGCATTCATCAAGCACATCATATACGAATCACTACACATTTCAAGTGCTGGGGATACAATAGTAAAAAATATATGACCTCTCAGAGTCGGATGTTAGTTATATGAGGTAATACAGATCTTTGCTTGAATTCTTTTTAACATGCTTCCATTACCCAGCAGCAAGCATGAATGCTGTGGTCTCCATGGGGAGATGCCCAAGTCTAAGGGGACCGCTGCCCAAACTGCCTCTGGTGGAGGCCCAAGTGGGCTTGACCCATCCAGCTGTTCTCAACCACCTGCCTTTGTCCCCAGGCTTCCCTGAGAGGTTCTGGAACATGAAGCAAGTGTAAGATCAGAGACAGAAGGTATGGCCTTGACCCTGGCCTCATTGGCAGTAGGTTCCAACTAAAGAGGATTATTTGACCATCAAATACTGTCATAAAAATACTAATATTTCCTCAGAGTTGCTTCATAATCTGTGCATGCTTGTGGTGGTTCAATCTCCAAATAAGATATACTTCTCTTGGGAAGTCATTTCTATATAGAATCTAGGTTATTTGACTATGCAATTAAAAGCACAATTGCAGAATGCTATTTTGTGTCTAAGATGTAAGGTCCAAATAAAAAAAACAAACAAACAAACCTAGAATGTTTTCTCATTTTCTTGGCCTGATGCCCTACTGAAAACTGACAGTATCACCTTTCAGATGAATGCCTACAATGTGGCATGTGTATATATTGATGCTTTGTAAGTATTTTATTTATCTAATCTTTACATCAAACTTACAGTAGTTATTATTAATTTCCCTCATTTTCCAGATAAGAAATGAGAGGCAGAAATCAGGTAAGTTAGTTCACACAGCTGGCAGAGGAGCTAAGGTTCACAGCTCACTGTTTTCACGACCGCTGCCTGTAATACTGCACTGCACGCTATGTCTCAGGCATTGTGCATTTCGTATTCTCTGACTCAACCATTTCTTCTGTGTATGGTAGATACTTTGGTCCTTTGGTTTAAAAGTCAAGGTCTGCAAGCTCCCCTCTGTCCTGAGCCATGGAATCTGATCGGGAGAAAGTAAAAACAGAAATAATCTAGCAGGAGATACTGCCATTTCCCTAGTCACCCAAATGCAAAGCTACACAGAGAAGACGATCCTTTCGCTTCCTTCCCTTCTCATGACTTCTAGAGGAAGATCAACATGACTCAGTGAGCAGGACATGACACTTAATGTCATACTCAAGGCCAAGATGATTTCGATAAGATTGTGATGCTGTAGCTGTTGTCATCTCAGAAACCCTCTGGCATACAGGAGAGATTTAATATGGAGTTGGCCAAAAGATTGAAGGCGGGAGGAGAAGAGGACGACAGAGGATGAGATGGCTGGATGGCATCACTGACTCGATGGACATGAGTTTGAGTAAACTCCGGGAGTTGGTGATGGACAGGGAGGCCTGGTGTGCTGCAGTCCATGGGGTGGCAAGAGTCAGACAGGAGACTGAGCAACTGAACTGAACTGAACTGGCCAAAAACGTTCGTTTGGGATTTTCCATAAAATCTTACAGAAAAACTCAAAGGAATGTTTAATACATTTTGCCAAGTGCACGAGTCTAGTATAAGTTAAATATATTCTACTTCAGAAGAGACTCTTGTTCTTTTTTTTCCCATCTCCATTGCCCTTTGCCCATCAGGCCCTTGTTTCTTCCCTCCAGAATACTGCACTTGGCTCCCCCTTCCCTTCCAGGCACATTTGGCCTCTCTCCCTGCCCTGACACGCCAACCTGCCTTCCTCCACCTCTCCAGCTTTCCCCACCCCATCCCCACAACCCATCATTCCACCATTCTGAATTACCTATGATGGGAAGTAAGAGAGATGCATCACCCCTGGGACTTTGCACTTACTCCCTCTCAGATGCCTTTTGTCATCTTTCATGTTCAGGGCTCACCTAAGAATACACCTCCTTCCCAGAAGCTTCCTTGACTGATTGACCCACTTCCCCTGTCTGCGCCCAGTCCTAGACCAGGGTCAGGACTCATGGAGCATGTGCACACACAGGACACGTTTTCTTGTATACTTTTTGTTGTGGATGCTT